TAAAACTCACACAACCTTTAATCCACCTGGATAAAAAATAAGCTGTAAAAACCGTTCAGTTTCTTGCACAAGTTCATAAAACCTCATTGTATGCTTTATGAATCACCAAGGATGATGGATTTAGCTTAAAAAAAACTTATTTAAAGTTCTAATTATTATTTTTCTTTAGGGTTATTCACCTTTATTATGATATAGGACAGTGGAGATTTCAAACAGCAAAAGACCTTGAGCTAGGAATCGAACTCAGGTTGCCTTTTGTGCTAGATGTCAGCGCACAGTACCACTAGGCTATTGGCGCTGACTTAAAGATCTATTTATGAAGAAGTGACCTACAGCCTGGTTTCAGACCTTTAACTAACCTACATGTAGCTGTCAATGTTCAATGTATTTAAAGACACATTAAGTGTTTAAAGTGTTTAAATCGAATGTATCGAAATTTAAATATCTAAAGGATGGGCAGGCTTTATTGTGACGTTTTTATGCATTACAATTTGTTTTTGATGTGTTTTCCCTTTTGACTTCAATATAGTAAAAGTATTTGTAACCACAATTTTACTACAAATATATTAAACTAATTGGTTACCATTAATTATAATTACCTTACTTGTATTAAAACATGGTTCATTTTTAAGTGATGTGGTAAAACAATACTGTGAAAATAAATTTGGTGGAAGTGTTAATACGATGTTAAACATTTAAAACAGTTTACTCACCTTTGCTAAAGCTGTCCAGTGTTTCACTTCAGCTCATGTGCAGGTGCTGTCGCACATTCACACAATGCTTAGGCCTTCAAAGTGTAACGGCCTACATACTGCAGCGATTCAACAATGAGTTCAATCTCTGGGTCAAATCGACTATACTTATGTTTTTCATTCTACACTTGCGAGACTGGCAGATTCACATTCATTCCACAAACACAAAAGCACCTCCAACTTGAAGAAATGCTCCAACTGTGAGGTATTTCGTCGATTTCACATCGAAATGTATCACAGCCGGGCTCGGCGCGGTTCCCAAGGGTGAAAGGAAAATTAATTAAACGCGACTCTACTTCGTGCTCACACTTGTCAGCTTGTATCTCAGCCTTTTCACCACCCTCGCCGCACACATAGCGAGAAGCCTGTTCCAATTAACAAAGAAGTTGTCAGGCCTTTGAATCTCGCTTGGCTTCTGCGCGTGGTACCCGCCCGATAAACAACAGGCTGTCGGGAAACCTGCGCGCACCACTGCCTCACAGGCGAAAACCTGTGCTTATCTTTTCACACAGGTTTCGCCATGTACAGACACGTCCGGGAATATTAATCTTACAAAAAAATATGTAATGAAATAATTCAGGTCATCAAAGTGCGAAACTGTCAGTGCCAACTAACGTTATAGCTTTTCAGTTCCAAAGGCTGGTGCTTGCTCAAAGTTCATGGTGGAAACAGATTGAAATCTAGTTAATAATCTAGAACGGTTAACACAATATAGTTAACTTTTTTTTAGACTATTTAATATATATCAATTCGTTTAAATCAATAAAAAATAGATCAAATTAGGCTTCTAATAACAAACATTATATTATATAGACCTTATAGGTTAGCCTATATGAGAAAGCAAGGGGAAAAATAGAAGTAGCCCAAACAGTAGATTAATGGAAAATTAACCGGTTTAATTAGCCTGATTGAAGTGTGAAGATTGATTAACCACACTGATAGGTTTATGTAATATACCTATATAGCCGTTTTTGTTGGATAAAGTATTTTCAGTGAACTGTTATGATAAATTAAATATAGCAAAACCATAAAAAATATTATTAAATATGTTTATAAAATTCTTGGCCCACAGACAATTATGATCACAACAGTCTAAGCCTATAGGCTAATTGAACAGCCTTTTCTGATTTAAATAACTATATTTCGTAGATTAGTAGACGGGATTGGTATTTTACCTCGTCCGTACAGCATTTGCAAACTCTAAGCTGAGAAAATTGTGAGCACATGCCCTCTTCTGGTGAAGAATCAAACTAGTTTTGTGGTAGCCCATGAAATATCAGTGAGAGAGCACATGCATTGATAGAAATATATGACATTTTCAATTTATTTACAATGACACACAATATCAACTGATTTATTGTCACGTGTACACATTCATTACTGAAAAAAATTACTAATATGCCACAGAATGTTCAATTTAAAAAACAGCACACTTCAATTCAATAACTCATATTTACAATAAAATAAACAATATTTTGAACAGACATAAAAACAAAAGCCTGTGTGAAAAGAATGACACAAACAGACAGTCAATCTGCTGAGGTGGAAGTAACAAGGTCAGAGCCATATGAAGCAAGTCACAAACAAGGTCAAACAATGTCATAACAACAGTAGCAGTAGTCAGTCAGCACATTCAGAGACCAGACTGATGATTCAAAGTTTGAGAAAAAAGAAAACAATACAGAAAGATCCAGGGCAAAGACGTCTGTACTTTATTTATTTATTTTTTTTCATCTCATTTTTGCAACAGAGCAACCAACAATACACGATAAAGCACCCTGCTGCCCAGGCAGAATCTCTATTACAACCCTGGAATCACTGACAAAGCCAACAGCACAACAGTTTATGATTTATACTATTCTATTGAATAGTATTATTGAAATGCATGGTCTCAACAAGCTATGTTGACACTGCGACACTAATATTGACAAGTATTTGAACACATCGGTTGGTATTTTGCCTCTGGCTCGTTTACTAGGCCATAGAAGGTATAACTGAAAGACAGACAGGGAGTCACTTTCCAGCCATTGCCACAGGGCATGCTTTAGGTCAGATGGGATTTCAGTCTGTCTCTGGTCTGGTCAGAGATTGATTCCTCACTGCGAACAGATCTCTGCATCTCTTTCTGTCTGGTCATTGACCTCACTCATCAGAGCTGCCAGCTACTACATCATGATGTCCAGTGCACACCAGACAATCCCAAAATGCCTTTAAAGCATTTCTGCACAATGGCAACTTTCTGTCCCGTGCTGTATTGATTTGTCTTGTGTGTAATAGTGAGAATGCAATGCATTCATACACGATGAATGAAAAAGCATGCTTGTGGGCTTCAATATATTCTGTTCACTGCAAAATAATCTTTAATCGCATTCCTGGTCTGCTGAATTCTCAGTGATAAAAAACCAGCTGAAAATACATTAAAGAAACGTCACATTTTTAAAATGCCACATCAAGAACAAAATGAGACAACATAGCCATAATATAGTGCAAGACCACAGCCACAGTTGTGTACTTGTGTACCCTAAATATTTAATATATTAATTATATTAAGCCTCATAAATGCACCCTCAAAACAATGATTAAATTAATTTACAATGCCATTTCAGATGCAGAAGTTTAATTCAAATGTGAGAAAATTATATTAAAATGACATTAAATATTGCCTGTGTCGTTCGTATGTCGTTCGTATGTGAAGGCTTTTCATCAAGTCTGGACTCTTTACTTAGATTTTATTGATGCTTCTTCAAGCTGTATTTTGGGTTACGATGTCATAATTGAATTTATGTATTTTATTTTATTATTATTGTATATTTATATATTAGTTTTGCTTATTATATATATATATATATATATATATATATATATATATATATATATATATACAGTTGAAGTCAGAATTATTAGCCCCCATTGGAATTTTGGAATCTCTTTTTCTTTTTTAAATATTTCCCAAATGATGTTTATTGGAGCAGGGACATTTTAGCATTATGATTATCATTATTATCATTATGTCTGATAATATTTTTTTACTTTTTTTTTTCTAGAATAAAAGCAGACTGAACTATTTTATGAACCATTTTTAGGACAAACTTATTAGCCCCTTAAAGCTAAATTATTTATTGATTGTCTACGGAACAAACCATCGTTATAGAATAACTTGCCTAATTACCCTATCCTGTCTAGTTAACCTTATTAACCTAGTTAAGCCTTTAAATATCACTTTAAGCTGTATAGAAGTCTCTTGAAAAATATCTAGTAAATTATTATTTAATGTCATCATGGCAAAAATACAAAAAATAAGTTTCTAATTTATTCTGTCTTTCTTTAGCATTGCATTGTTAAATAGGCATTGTCTGTTGATTTGGTTCAAAGTGTTTCATGATTACAGTTTGTCTTAGTCACTTCGGTTCATTTCTCAGATCAGAATTGAAATTCTCAAAACTACTTGTTAAATCTTCACATCGTGTCACTTGTGCACATCAGAAAAGCAGTTTCTCATTCCTTTGAACAAGTTGCAAATGTTTTTGTACATCCATGATAATGACTGTGCGCAGATGTCTGCTGTTGCCTATACATTATCAATTGCTTATGTCATGTTGATCAAAATGTTAAATAGTCTCACCCATCACAATGTTTAATTCATTGTTCATGGCAAGTCTTTACATGCAAATGACTGAACAAGTTGTCATAATATTTTGTCATAATGCATTTTTTTATTCAATTAGACTTTTTTTCTAAATCTGTCTACAGTTGGTAAATTTCTCCCACATAAATCTAGATTTTTCTAATGAAGGTCTAAAAGGAGGTTGTCCTATGTTCACATTTCTATTTTGTTTTGTTTTTTCTTTGTGCTATGCGGTGCTGTATTTTCCTTTCTGCATCACAATGACATCATTTACAGTACAAACAGCATAAAATATAAATAGCCATCGATGATACCAGAAAAGCCCTACAGAGTGCACTATAGTATTGACAACATTGACAACAAAGTAATTTGACTGTCTTATCATAATTCTGACAGCACTGACTTGTTCATTGATACAGTAATGTTTTGAGAGATGAACTAAGGATTTTGAGCAAGAGACTGGCTTTTGCAGGTGATTCATGCTGTTTTGTTAGTTGTACACAGTGTTTTGAGAAATGCACTTGCTGTTTTGCTAATTTTAATTCTGATCTGAAAAATGTGCCAAATTGACTGAGAAAACTGTAACAGTGAAAATGTTAATAAAAAGATGCAAAAAAAGACATTAAAATTATGATTAAAATAAATCTGAATTTGTGTAAAATATGGGCAAAAATGGGCAAACTCAGTCCCTGCATTAAGTTTAAACCAACAACTCATACCCAGCATTTTTGTGTATTCATGACATATATAAGAAGATTTTTTGAGATTGTAAATTACTAAAATTAAACAGCAGAGGGAGCCAAGACATCACAATTCTTACAACACATTCACAGAATAGACCTGCTGTAAAAAAAAAAGACAAGACATGCATTCGTGCACATATTAAACACCCCATGCTTCTGTGTGAGATACATTCTATCAGGTAAAAAGAAAACAAACAAATTTTTACCCAAAACAGCTGCCTTTTACACGAGACCAAAAAAAGCCTCATGGATTCATCAATCCACTTCCAGCATTATCTTGTGTTTCCAGTGTGAATTCTGTTTAAAAGCTGGAGCGAGGAGCCTGGATTTCTCTTTCCACACTCGGCATGCTTGGTGTATCTCGACAAACCAGCCGGTGGCGGAAGTGTCCGCTTAGCAGGATGTAGATGAAGGGGTTGATGCTGCTGGCGGCGTAGCTCAGACACACAGACAGGTAGTAGCAGGTGTGGTATGCCAGCGAGGGCCGAGGAACACTCAGGTTAACCAGCTGCAGGATGTGGTATGGCCCAACACTCACCAGGAAAACCGCAACCAGGACCAGGACCATTTTAGTCAGGCGGACCACACGCTCCCGAGGCAGGCTGGTGTTGTACCTAAAATAAAGTCATAAATGCAGGATTTGGTCACAATTTGGTTAAACCGGTTATATGTTATGATAAATATTTATGAATACATTAGAAAAGGATAGTCATGTGAAAAATTAAAATGATGTCATCATTTTATCACAATAAGATGATCAAAACCTGCATTATTCAATGCGAAGTCAATGGGAACCATAAATGTTTGGTCATCAACATTTTTCGAAATATTTTCTTTTTGTGTTGAGCAGCAGAAAAAAAAGTCACACAAGTGAGATTTTATAAACAAACTTCGGTAGGAGCATGCGCAGATGTTTCAACAATTCTAATACACCATTGACAATCATTCTATTATCCAATCAGCATTAGACCAAACCAAATTTGACCGACCTGCATTATCTCATGACTTTAGTATCCTCCTACCACCCTGACACCTCACCTTTTAAACATTATCTACCTGGGAGGGAGCATTATTGGGCCGGGCTAGACACTTCACTTGAACCCCAATGTCTCTCCCTTTCCTGAATAACACGAGTGCTCAGGGCCCTCTCTCTGGACAGCACGGTAAATATGCTTTATTCTTTAAACCAGTGGTTCTCAAAGTGGGGGTCGCGGGACAATGAAGGGGGGGTCACTTGACGATTTTCAAAAATTAATTTTTTATTAGAATGACCATATTTTATCCATAACCTACCAAAGAACAAATTAGTATTTAGTAACATTGTTAACAAAATAATAATAATAATAATAATAATAATAATAATAATAAACATTAAAACCACATGCAAATAAAAAGCCACCAGTCTTTCATTTTTTTGCAAGCCCTGGGTGATTGCGTTATATTAAAGATGATGCAGCACATTAATTTTATGGCATCAGGTTAAACTTTTTGACACCTTTACAGCACCCACATCCATTAAACTAAATACAGGCCTCAACTGAACATGGAGGATGGTCTATGAGTGATGATCTCCAAAATAAATGTTGAATAGATTTGGGCCTATTGATATGTGTGCGTCGTTGTGTTCAAGGTTTATATATTTATAACCACCTCAGAGAATATTGGGTGTAGCAAGTCATTGGCATTGTTATTTTGGGGGTCGCGGGCTGAAGGGTTTGGGAACCCCTGCTTTAAACATCTGTATGTGTGAACTCATGATGTTTGGATTGATAACAGGATGAGAAGGTCATTATAGAATAAATATTTTGTCAGATAAGTAACAGATATATTTTCTATAAATTAACATTTACAGCAAAATTTTAAAGAATGAAAATAAGTGTTTCACTGCAAGTTAAGCTCAATTAACGGAGTTTGGAAAAAAAAGTCCACTTGTCCCTTCTTTTCTTAAAATTAGGTTACAGTGACATTTACAATGGAATTGGATGACGTGTAAATATCATTGCTGACAACTTTCTCTGTATGAAATTACATAGGAGTAGTTCACACAAAAATGCAAATTTACTCAATATTTTCTCGTCCACAAGTGGTTCCAAACCTAAATGAGTTTCTTTCTTCTTCAACAGGTTTGCAGCTTTCTTCAAAATATCTTCTTTTGGGTTTAACAGAAGAAAGAAACTCATAAAGGTTTGGAACCACTTGATGGAGGGAGAGTAAATGAGTAAATGATCACAGAATATTCAGTTTTGGGTATCCCTTTAACCCCTTTGTTTCATGAAAATATTCGTTTATTCATTAATTTTCTTTTCGGCTAGTCCCTTTATTAATCTGGGGTCGCCACAGCGGAATGAACTGCCAACCTATCCAGCATATGTTTTACGCAGCGAATGCCCTTCCAGCTGCAACCCAGTATTTGAAAACACCCATACACTCTTGCTCTCACACACATACACTTCGGCCAAGTTTGTTTATTCAATTCACCTATACCATGTCTTTGGACTGTGGGGGAAACCTGAGCACCCAGAGGAAACCCACACGAACACGGGGAGAACATGCAAACTCTATTAATGAAAATAAAATGCCACTAATTAAAGTATAAAACCCAAACAAGAGAATAAAATAAAATTAGCTTCAATAAACAAAGTATTTATAAATATTGTGATATTCTGCAATAAAAATCTGCAAAAAATCTATAAAATGTTATTTACAAAATAATAAAAAAATAATAAAATTCTCAAAAATTCTAAGTCACCATTCAGGTTGTAATGAATTCACCTGTGAGCCTTTTTGTTCTTGCGATACATTCTCCAGGTGTAGCAGAGGATCAGTATGTAGCAGATCAGGATCAGAGGTAATGGCAGGAAGAAGGACGTCACAGTCTGGTAGAGCGTGTACCTAAACATTTATGAGCAAGAAGAGCATTAAAGGTTCATGAAACCCTTCACTACTTTTGTATTCATTTATTGTTTTAGATTTTAACACATTTATGGGCATTGAGCATCAATTAAGACAAAGTTAGTGTCTGTCAGCTTTAATTGTGGGGAAAACCCGATTATTTTAAGCTTTTTCTCTGCTAATTTTATCCTCTTTAAAATGGTCATTGGGGCTGGATAAAAATCATTGATTTAGCGCTCAACCACTAGTGGAGAGAAGACGCGTCTTTGTCTCATTCTTATTTACTGATTGAGAATTCTTTTGCTTTGAGAAGACCCTACTTCTTAATTATTCATGAAAGCACGTGATGCTTTCCAATGACAGACCTGCCAATCTGGGAGACCATGCACAGCATATATAACCGGGAATTCAGGAGGAGAGCAGTCCACCACCTTAGCAGAACCCGGCATACTCTTTTAAGCTTCTGTGTCGATGTCCACCTTTTTTATGAGTGCTCTCTGTGTACATGTAAACCTTGGCTACGTACATTTTTTTTAGGTTAATAGATTGCATACACATTTAAGGTCTTCATATTGACATGATTGTGTTCACAGTGTTATTACAAATTGTCGTTATATGATTTTGTATATTTTAAGTTTTAACAGACAGTGCCGGCCCATATGATTGAGGGGCCCTAGGCGAGATTAAAAAAATAATAGCAAGAAAGTACAAAAATAAACAAATTTAATATTTAAGTGTATACATTTTTATTAACATATTTAACCTATAATACACATGTAAAAATATTTACTCGGATTTAAACAAATAAGTTTGCAAAGTATTGTAAAGTATTGCAAATAAAAGTGCAAGAGTGTTGTAAAAACAAACTGGAACAAACTAAATAAAATAAAATACAAATACATTTAAAAATAAATGAAGAAGGGCACAGATTGAATACTTGAGATGTTTTATTACTTATGACTTTAAGACAAAATAGAGTGTGGTGTTGCTTGGTATGTTTCTAATATTTTCTGCTTTTATCCATACATATTCATCGTTTTCAGCTGTTTGTCATGCATGAATTACACAAAGCTATTCTTTTAATGAAATGTGGAGGTTATTTTTTTTCACACCGTCGTTGTGAATTGTGTCACATTTAATGGGTTTGTGCATTGTGCAATGCACATTGTTCATGATTGAAACATTCCTCACACTTAAGTTCACAGTAAATGTACAAGAGTATTGTTCAAGTGGCCCTCCAAGAAATGTGGGGCCCAGGGCAACCACCTATATTGACTGCCCAGCACTGGCTACAGATAATAAAATATATGCTCATTCATTCATATTTTGTTTGGCTTAGTCCCTTTATTTATCTGGGGTGGCCACAGCGAAATGAACCGCCAACTTATCCAGCATATGTTTTACGCAGTGGACGTCCTTTCAGCTGCAACCCAGCAACATCCATACACTCTCATTCACACACATACACTACGGATAATTCAGCTTACCCAGTTCACCTAGCGCATGTCTTTGGACTGTGGGGGAAACCGAAGCACCAGGAGGAAATCCACACAAACACGGGGAAAACATGCAAACTCCACACAGAAATGCCAACTGACCCAGCCAAAGCTCAAACCAGCAACTTTCTTGATGTGAGCCAATTGTGCTACCGGCTGCGCCACTGCTGCATAAAATATATATAATAGGGCAATAAATTACTTTAAAAAGGATAGAATGTTTGTTTCATTGAAGTTTAACTTTGACTAACCTGCCGGTTGTACACTACCCACTTGCATGGGAGTTGCTTGTTCTAACAAGGAGGCATTAGGGCTGCGGCTGCAGCTAGAGTAGCTATTGAAATCAGGGGAATGAGGTTTTATCTTTCATCCATCTTATTTACAATATGGGATATTTTTTATATCTGCACAGCACTTCACTAGCTGGCCTCTGTTACACTCACGCCCTAAACCTGCTTCCCATCCAGGTAATGGCATCAATGTACCCTACCAGTCCTACATTTCCTACTTGCTATGAGCTGGGATCGAACCGACAATTCTTTGCATGGGAGTCGGTTGCTCTAATAAGGACCTAACTAAACTCAAGTACACCAGCTAAATCCTGTCTGATTTGTAGTCTGAATTGGTGAGTCAAGTGACAGTTGCTGTCGCCCCTTTTTCCAACAAAATTCACGGCAATTCAGTTTTTGTTTCAGTCTCCAATTTGTATGAAATTGTATGATCTCATTCGTACAATTTAGTATGCTCATCCTCAAATGATGTTTGGGTTTAGGGGCAGGGTTGAGTGCCAGACCTTCTTTTTAAAATCGTACATTTTCATACGACTGAACTCGACTTTGTACGAATTAGACACTAAACTGATAAAACGTAAAAGCGTTACATTTCCTCATGAGATAAGGCTGCTTTTCAACAGCTTTGCCAGCCATGCACACCCCTTTCCACTTCTGTGGCAGCAGTACATGCCCAAGATGCATTTTTTTTAAACAATTCTGAAGTAGACGTGAACTGAAAGTGATGGGTTACAAGACCCTTTCAACCCTCTATAATTCATTTCAACAGCAGGTTTCACTCCACCTGCTTTAATTACAAAAGAAGCATGGACTCCTCTGAACCTCAAACTGTAAATCCAATTTTCTGGAGAAGAAGAAATTTTACTGACAGAAAAGTTTTTATTGTGTTGCTTTAAATGTCTGCAACATGTGTCCCTATGCCAAATGATGGCTATCAAAGCAGATAGCAAAGATAACTTCTTTGAAAAAAAAAAAATAATACAACAAAAAGTACTGCTCTGGAAAAAGAATCAATAAAAATTTGCAGGCTTTCATTTCTCAAAAAAAAAAAAAAAAAAAATGCACAAAATGGGCCATTCACAAAAACAGGTATTTGTTTGCGCATTTCTGTTCTTTCATGTTCAGTAAAAGGTTATGATAACAACTGAGTGATTCAGCAGAGTTGTCAAAGCAGAACTAAGAATGAATAAGCATTATCAGAACTGTGCTGTACAAGGAGAAAGCGTGTGCATTTGGTGCCCAAAATTCCCATTTCTTTTCCCATTTCTTAACTCTGTTAAACATCATTTGGGAAATATTTGAAAAAGAAAAAAAATAGTCACATGACGGCTAATAATTTTTAATTCAACTGTACATTAAAAGTAAAAATGAAGAGACTTTTGTTTGACAATCACTGAATTATTTAAATAAAGTATACCGTACATAGAATATCTACTTCTTAACTTCTTTAAATGCACAGTATCTTTAATTTCTGAATTTGCCACAAGAAAAGCAGAAGCTTTTACCAGAGCACTTGTTTGGGAGAGACCAGGTTAAGTGAGCAGCTCTCCAGACCGTCCCTGAAGCGGATGACTTTGGCATGAACCCAGGCCGGCAGAACCATGATGAAAGAAGCTGCCCACACAAACAGGTTAATGCGGATGGTCCTGGATCTGGTCCTGAGACTCAACAAGCGAAATGGATGAACAAGAGCCAGGTATCTGCAGAACATCAATCAATGAGTAATACAGACCTTACAAACAGCAGCATTTAGCATTAAATGACATCGAAAGAGAAAATGCGAAATAGCTCCCATCTTTTCTTGAAAAAACAAAACCTTTTAACATTTACTAAAGCACAAACAATGCTTTTTAAACCGTGTTGTGCTGAGATGTGCTTTGGCATTTATGAATTGAGATGATCTTCTTGAAGGTAACAGCGACCCTCTTTAAAACAGAAGGAAACAGAAACAGTTTTTTTTTCTTCAGAATCCTACTTTTTAAATCTGAGAGGGTTTGTGAGAGAAACAAATGTGAAACAACAGGACATATAGCACTCCTTACTAGCTAAGGAAGCATAAAATAGGTGAGTACAAAAGCAATTTGTGACTTTAAATTGCTTTTGTGTTGCAAAAGATGCCAGTAATACAAAATTTTAGCATCCCATTTCTAAAAAAAAAGAAAGAAAGAAATCAAAATAATACGGATGATGCATCACTCCCTTTTCATTCTCGTATTATATTTTTTTGTAAATAAGTATTATAATTATTATTAGTAGTAGTAGTAGAAGTGGGGGCAGCACGGCAGCTCAGTGGTTAGCACTGTTGTCTCACAGCAAGAATGTTGCTGGTTCAAACCCTGGCATTTCTGTGTAGAGTTTGCATGTTCTGGGTTTCCTCAGGATGCTCCAGTTTCCCCCACAGTCCAAAGACAAGCACTACAGGTGAATTGAATAAACTAAATTAGCCGTATTGTATGTGTGTGAATGAGTAAGTGTGGTTTCCTAGAAATGAGTAGCGGCTGGATGAACATAGGTTGTTTTCCTATTTGATGCTGCTAAGACAGGAATACACATTTGTTTCAGATTATGATTCATTGTTTTTAGTTTGTTTTTAAATCCCTGTTGTTATTTCTGAATTCTGATATTTCACTTTTTGAGTTGCACTGCACTGTGGTTTTAACTATTGTTTTTAATTGTGCTAATGATTTGGCTGGACTGATGTACAGTATAATTGTGATAAGGGTGGCCTCTAATGGTGAGAATACAGTGTAGCAACAATTACCCTAGTAGCAAAGAATTCTAGCCCAGATTTGGCATAAAGCTGGCACAGCAGGCATTCATCCAGCACTGGCATACAGCATGTGGGCCAAACATGGCCCGGGTTTGGCAGAGGTGGCACCGTCTTTAAGGCGGCACACAAGATTTGGGCCAGATGAAAAATGTAGTATTTGGCCCAGATTTAAAAATTTGATAAGTGGGCCATGTGAGTTTAGCCAGTCTTGACCCACATTTAAAATACACACTTTTTGAATAAAGAAAAAAAATTCTACCTATCAGGTCACTTTGAGAAAAAGCGTGCCCAGAGTGTGCCTAAAGCGCATCACTCCATGGGTTTATCAATTTCATTGCAATCGTGACACACCAACCTATCTGACCCAGTTCAGGCCCAGTTATGAGTTATTAACTTGGCTGAGACTTGGCCCAGATATGGTCTGTGTTTGGCCCTTGTCTGGAAGCCAGATTTGGTCCAGTCATGTACCGTAATTCACTGCGGCATGTGGGCCAAGCAAAACCTGATTGTGTGGGCCAGAGCTGGGCCAGAGAAATTTTGCTATGTGGGTAATAATTAGACAATATCTGATACACTGATGGTTTTAGGTTTGTGCAACACACAATCAACACCAACAAATAAAGATGAATGCCCGTCCCAAATAAAAATTAAATAATAGCTAATTTCCAGAGAATTGTTCAAAATAAAAATCTTTAGCAAACTTATGCCTTTATAGCACAAGCTAACAATTCAGTTATAAAAATACACTCATCGGCTTTATTGAAGCACAATGATTTATAATTCATTCTTAATATTAATACTGTGATTAACTGCATACACAAAGCTTTGACTGAAGAAAAGAAAAGAAGAGAAATGAAAAGACAAGAAAAGAAAAGCAATGGGCAGATTTTTAAAAGCTAATATTCTATGTGCTTCAACATCAATATCCTAACCCATAATGCTGTTTTATGTTCAACCATGAATATCATAAAAGGCGAATGAAACTGACAAACCATTAATATCAATCAATAGTATTTTCTGTTACATTTTTCCTGTCAGACATTCAAACACTGAACCAAACGAGCCGCAATCAAGTTTCACACGATTAAATGAGACAGCACAAGGCCTGTAAATGCTCTTGTTTGAGTATAAAATCCTTATATTGACAGGGAAAATAATGTGAAAGCATACAAATCAGTTTTGATTGGATTTAAAATGAGAATTTTAACGCATTATATTTGCTGAAGAAATACATCTAATCTTTATTTTATTATAGTAGGTTATCTGGGCATCTCATTCTACATGAAATGATGATTTGAATCACATTATTTGACAGTAATTACATTTAAAATGCTTTAATAGTGAGGGGAAAAAGTAAAATAAATTGACTGTTGACGTATTCACCTGTCCAGACTCATGGCAGTCATGACTGCAGCACAGGCCACCTGGTTGCAGTTGTCCAGTGAGGTGATGATGGTGCAGAGGCTGCTGCCGAACACCCAGTGCCCTCCACGCGCCCACTGGTGAATCAAGAAAGGCATGACAATCACGTGCACCAGATCGGCCACAGCCAGGTTCCCGACATACACGTCTGGCACTGTCTTTTTGGCAGACCTGCAAAAAAGAAATTGTAGTGATGTCTGAGCCCTTGGTGAGACAAAACAGCAAGGTATTTTGTGAAGAAGAACTAAAAAGTGCAAGCAGCAATAAACATGGACAGCAGCCTGAGGTCAGGTCATGGCTGTTTTCTCAGAGAAGCAGTGAAATCACAGTGAAATCACTAAATTGGCTCTCTAGCGCTAATTAAAGGGGCTTTTTGAAGGTTTGAGAAAACCTTGTTATTATTGACAATAATGGCCATTTAATAACCTGCAGGAACAATCTTCTTGTGCTAACACTTGTGCACACATTACAATACCACTTTTATTAAGACTTGTATGGCTGTATATAATTTAAATGATGTGTCTTACTGAAAAGTACACCGTTTTTGACATCAATTTGTTGCATTCTGTGTTTACTGGTGCTGTCAGTAGCTATTTTTACACAACTCCATTAATCAGGCCGACACAATCAGTTTTTGCTTGGCCCCCATGGCGCAGTGAATTACGGTATATGACTGGAGCAAGTCTGGCTTCCATACAAGGGCCAAACATGGACCATATCTGGGCCAAGTCTCAGCCAAGTTAACAACCCAGAACTGGCCTTAAAGACGGTGCCACTTCTCCCACTTCTGGGCCATGTTTGGTCCACATGCTGTATGCCAGTGCCGTGTGAATGCCAGCTGTGCCAGCTTTATGCCAATTCTGGGCCAGAATTCTTTGCTGCCTGGGTCTGAAATTAAAAGGCTGCTGCTTTTTGTTATTTTGTAATTTTTAGTCAAAGGGCGATACTATGGTTGTTGTATGTCTTCAATGGTTTACTATAGTGAGGCGAAAACAATCAGAGATGCCTGTCGATAAATAAATTTTTTTGATTCTCGCCCCTTTAGCACTAATGATTTTGAGGGTTTTTGTAAATTAATTAAAAAAAAAATAGGTGGTGATAAAAGAGCATACTTAACAAAATTCTATTCACTAAAAACATTTATTGGATTTACTAAACTTTTTTAAGGTAACTGCTTGCAAACATTTTATATGCACTAAATAAATTTAACGTTGTTTAAATTCAGCCCATGTAAATCTTTTGCAACCAGTTACCTTAAAAATATTGTGTAATTCCAATGAATCAGTTGTTTTGAATAAGTGTTCCATTAATTTTTCCACACAAAGACTCAAGGAACATTGAGTGAGTCCATGATGAGAAACAGCAAAGACAAGGATGCCATCTTGGATTGAAGCAAACATGAAGCCACAGAAGGAAAGAGCTGTTGAGAGACCTGATGATTCATCCGCTTCACTGCAGTGAGTAAATGCATGGTTTGTAAGTTATACAGAACTTTTCATTCATTAATTTATTTTCTTGTCGGCTTAGTCCCTTTATTAATCCGGCGTTGCCACAGCGGAATGAACCACCAACTTATCCAGCGAGTTTTTACGCAGCGGATGCCCTTCCGGCCGCAACCCATCTCTGGGAAACATCCACATACACATTCACACACACACTCATACACTACGGACAATTTAGCCTACCCAATTCACCTGTACCACATGTCCTTGGACTGTGGGGGAAACCGGAGCACCCGGAGGAAACCCATGCGAAGGCAGGGAGAACATGCAAACTCCACACAGAAACGCCAACTGAGCCGAGGTTCGAACCAGCGACCCAGTGACCTTCTTGCTGTGAGGCGACAGCACTGCGCCACTGCCTCACCTATATAGAACTTTATATGTGCAAAAATCCATGTTAAACCTCAATCATACAAAACATAATATCCAAACATAATAAAACAAAAATGTGGCCAGTGAAAATGCTTCCTTGGTAACCCAATTAATAAACCATTTTCTGTTGTTTCTAGTGTGCTGAACAAATTGTATTTCATACGAGCCTGGTACATTGCAGCATAATTAAACATCTTAATGACATAGAATTCTGGGTTTGACAGCTGTGTAGATCCATATTGATAGAGTAATTGTATGTTATGTCACTACTCCATACACGTTACTCCATAGCTTGTTATAAGAGGAAGTGCACTTCTTCTTCCCGCCCTTGTTATTTAACCAAGTAAATGGTAGATAAAAAGGAGTCCCAAAAGCAGAAATGTCTGATCATAAGAAAAGACAATCATTTAGCTTGATTGTGGAAAAGTGGCTAATGTGATTCATCAACACAACAAAGATGATGTCAAGCCCTGCTTTGAGGTAAATAGAAATAATGTCTTTTCAATGATATATGTATTATGAACCTCAGGAAGTTTTTCTCTGTCTTCCTATTCCACTGTTAAGAGCAATGTTTAAATATGTGTCTTCTCAAAAACAAAACAAACACACAACAAATGATCTGATCTTAGCAACATGGATACATGCACAAAATGAAATTCATCAGCATCATATGTAGTTCTTTGAGATACTATAGTTTGAGTTTGGTCCATTGAGTTTACAGTAAAAAATGGCTCTTTCTGTGTTAATTCTATTTAACATTATCAGCATTCAATTCATGTGATATAAAAATGAAGAAAGCCTTTTGGGTTGTCATGTAAATGTCACATTTTTCCACTAGAAACACATCAAGTCCCTAATCTATGGGAAGAGCAATAAAGTGCAAACACTGTTCCCTCTATGCCAAATTCATAAATAAATGAGTATATCACACTGGTGGCAGTGCAATATGGCTGCTACGAGTGTGATATTGCGTTTATACAACAGTTTAATGGCATAATCGTGTATATAAAAAAGAAAATCAAACAAGGAAAGTCTAACTACTTTCTTCTGCCATTCATTCACATCTGAAGCTGACGTCAGAACAGCAAAAACCGTAGCTACTTTAAACATGTCACTTTAGAGCGAGCAATGATTCTATAATATCTAAAGTGCCGACAAAACAGGTGATATTGCTAACATTTTATTTAAGATTATAAGGCTGAACAGCATGAAGTGCCATCAGTCTACAGAGATTCCCCAGTATATCTCTGTTGCAATTAAAAGATCACAATAATTAACCCCGAAAAAGTCAAAGCAGTGCAAAAACTACCAGATTACTATTGTGTTTGTGATAAGGAGAAACACTAAATACATGCAGGCATTTATTCTTTTTTTCTGTTTACTGAACTTGTCTGTACTAATGAAAACAGGGGTCCGTTCTTCGTACATGGATTACTCAGTTAGCTGGATTTGGATGTTGGCAATTTGACACAATCCAGAATCATTTTGTTCTTCAAAGTTGATCCGAGAGTTGTTGTCATAGCAACAGTTCTGGTAGATCAAACCTGCTGGGCAGCAGGCTCAATTCATATAAACAGGATTAGATCAGCTCAGTTCATGCAAAGAAAATACTGAAAGTATGTACTAAATGCTGATATTTTCTTACAGTAGTAGTTATATACACTTGGGAAAATGGTAACTATTTTTAACTATATATATAAAGCCTAGTTATTAACAAAATAAATAAAGTTATACATATTAATAAAACTTATGCAATCTGCACCCTCGAAATGAAAGTACAAAGACTGCCCCCTGGTGGTGCAAAGAGAAAACTTATTGGTATGAACTTTTTAGATCACTTTAGAACAATTTGTGTATAATAGAAATGCACAATATGTGACTTTTTTTAAAAAGCAATAATACATTTATGCAGTCATAAACATGTTTTGACAGTTAATATGCCAGTGATTTGATGCTTCACAAAAGTTGCAGACACCTTTACCAATATCAAAATGCTTTTGTAAACATCGATTAAAAAAAATGGCTACTATAATAAAGAAAAACTTTTCTAAACGTAGAACTAAATACACTGATATGCATTGGAATACATGATGAATAGTCTTGACACATGAAAGTGTAAAGCCTGCAGCTCACAACAAATGTGGAAGGTCATTTAACACGGTTTACTGCTAGTTTGATGTAATTTTGCTCACATTACGCTGCCGTCAGCCAATCATTGCATTGCTGATCATGATCAACACACGCAGCGATCTCAGATCAGTTCATTCAGACATTCTAATCTGATTCGCGAACTTGTTTGAAGAACCAAATAAGCGAGAGATCAGTTATCGAGATGAAAAGATCCAGGATCTGCCAAATCATCTTAGACCATTTAAGCGAGGTACGAAGAACGTACCCCAGGAGACTCATTAGAAAAAAACAGATGGCCAACCTAAAATTAACTCTGGGTTATACACGAGTGGCCAACACAAAATACACATTCCTGATATTAGAGTTCCATCTCAGTTTATATTTTTACAGTTCTGTGACGGTTTAGGGTGGGGTAGGAGTAAAAAAAAAATACAATTTATAGGGTAATTTAATAGCTTATATAAATAATACTCAGTACAACTACTGTTTTTACAGTACTGTAACAGTTGGGCTTAGGGTTGAGGTAGGGGTAGGCATTAATAAAATACAATAAATGGAAAATTTCATGAATAATGTAAATAAATCTTGTTAACTTCCGGCCGCATCCATATCCAATCTAGCAACAACCATTTCACACTCAACACACAACAATTACTATGGTATAAAAGCAGCACTACAACATATAAAAGAGAGAGATCGACTTACCAGTTTTATAATGATTTGATCAGCTGTAGTTCAACATTACACTGAATGTCTCTGTCGCCATCTTGTGGATGGCGCTGTATTTCCCAAATTATAAATATTTAAAATGGGTATTATCCATATAAATAAACTGTATAGTTGCAATCTAAACAACTATTCTCACCTAATATGCCTTAAAAGTACATTGTTTTCCAACAGCTGCAATATTTGTCATACTGTAGTGAGTTTATTGATCTGCTGTCACTCTATGTGGGCGGAGTGATACAGAAGGGTTAAGAGGCTATAGGAGTTCTGAAATCAGCCAATCAGATTGGAGAATCAGACCGAATTGTTGTATAAATCAACACAATCTCATAGCAAAAAAGCAATCATTCATTTCCAGTGCCATATGGCGTACAGATCACAACTTCCAGAACAAATAAAATCATTCAGATAATTTCATCATATAATGGCATTGAGATCAATAAAAGTAATTTACACAGTAAATGAAATTGTTCGCAAATAAAATGAATTTTGCTTGAAAAGTAAATCATTAATTAATGCACAGTGGCAAAATCACATTTTTGTTTTCATTCATTCAGATTTATTTATTAACAACATTTTCACAGGTTTTCATAGAAAGATAAAGCATCATTAAAAGCCTTGATAGACATGTTATCGATTAAATTAATTGATTTTCAACTATACAAACAAACATAAAAAGACGTGAGGCTTAAATTTCCTCATGGACACGTAAACCCACCTTAGAATAGTCACCAAAACCAGAACATTTCCAACAAGCCCGGTGGAGCACAGAAATCCAATAAACGCGGGAAGGATTTTAGTTTCGGTGACATGAACAATATTATAATACTCGTCAGCTGGATGTCCTGCTGTAGTCTCATTAGCGCGCGTGCCGTTGTCAAATTTCAGCGTAAAGTTCCAAACAACAGGTTCCAACAACTCCACCATGGCGTTCATCACTTGCGCTTCATTCTGCTCGCCGAAAATGCGCTGAAATGGGGTATCTCCACGCGTACTTGTATATCCATGTCGTGGGTTTCAGCGTCTTCATCACACTAGATAATGCGCACTGGGGTCTCCAGTCTAACCAGAGCGCGCGCAGCAGCACCTTCTGAAGAGCCCGTGACGCATAGCAGATCCATGTAACTGACAGGTACCTGTACAAGGCACTTGACGAGATTTTATAATACATCCGGTCTCTCTTTTATTTTAAACTTCAATTATTTGCATTTAAGAGTGAATATAGGCCACATTGGCTACTCTTGTATAGTCTATATCCATATATATTGTGTCCTCTTTATTGTATACTGTAATCACCACAAAACGTTTCTTAAATTTTACCCCAGCTTTTACAAGGATAGTAGGCTGGACTTGCGTTCATTATTCAAGCACACATTTGATTTAATATTTAACCCAAAATTAATCTTTTATATGTCATGGTCAAAAATTGTTGAATTCACACTCAGGTGCTTTTAAAATATAAAGATATTCAGACGAAGAAGACTCTAAATGCCATCTAATATCTGAGTGTCTATGCTCAATCTCCTGTGTGGTTCATCATGTTTATGTTGATCAATAGGTTATTTTCAGTTTAAAATTTAATAAGCTAAGATAAGAGGCTTTTTGATCTGAACTCCTAGTATGTGCACAATAAGTACACTTAATAAAAGTATACTAAAGTGCACTTCTATTCTACAAGCATAGTGAGCTCAACACAGCTAAAACATGCATAAAGAAAACTGATGCAAGGTTAGCAGATTAATAATGCCACAAAAGGACTCTCATTAATCATCATACAGCCATAATAGATTTGGCTTGCATGCTACATTTCTCATCATTGCATGTGTTGGTGCTTCATTAAGATCTCTTTTATATCACCCTATGAATTCATTAGCAGATAATCTACATTTCACAATTTTACACGTTGCACATAGGCTACATGTAATATTCATGCAGTCCCTGGCAATGTAATTAATAACCTTAGCCTTGCTAGCGCTAAACTATTTTGAACTCAACAGAAACAACAAGAACAACAAAACACCATAAGCCTACCGTATGAACATTACAGCTGGGAAAAGTATGCAACAAGCACCAGTTAGGTATGGTATTCATGATGCACAACCGTAGCTCTCAGAAAAATACCAGTTGAATCTTGTAATTAAAGTCAATCTAAAGGGGGGAAATGCACTTAAGAGTCTTAATGAAAATTAAGTGTTACTATCATGCAGTGCTCCATTATAATGCGTCATTAGTATGTCAAAGTATACATGAAATGAATTTCCTTGGCAACACGTTTGAATGCTTGAATGTTAAATTTATGATTCCCAGTGACATGTTATAGCACATAGATCTATCAATGTCATTGCGTCACCAGCCTATACAGTAAATGTTTCCTCCGCAGTTTGTGTCTCGGGTCCTTTAAGACAATCACTGTTTAAGAAATGACTGTTTACATGGTAGACTCTTGATCTGAGTATTGTCTTAATGATATTAAAATCAGAGTATTGGTGTCCATGTAAACATACTAAGATAATGTGCCAGATGATGTCACAAGCTGTTAAAGACAGTCCTTTCCACACCTTTAAGTTGATTCCATGAACCCTCACATTTCATAAGTTTGAGGGGATTCCCCCCTTACACGCAACTTTTGTAAAGGATCTGCTGCATGTTAGTGTGTCAGAATCCTTGCTTGTAAAATATATCCATACTTCAGAATGCTTAGTTTAAGCAAATTAGATGAATGCAATCATGCTTGTTGATGAAGTGAATCGCTCACCTCATGCGCCGTACTGCGCGCTTTGCCTTTTATAAGCCACATCAACAAACACCTGACATCAATGACATCCGTATTCCTCAAAGCTGTTTAGAATTAAAAATTTGGAGATTGTGTGACACATTGCATACTTATGTGTGCCTTTGAAGCACCCCTTTATGCTTTTTAAGGGCGTCACATAGCAGATGCGCCGCTCAGAGCTGCGGCACGGCGCGCACATGACAGTTGAATGTATCACACACCAGACGTGCACATTGGCATGTTATTAAAAATGAACTATTCAGATGTCGCTCTGTGGCGCGGCAGAAAAATGAACAGTCATGAGTCGTGGCTGGGCGATGTGGACAGCTGCTGACTTGCGAATTCTAAAATATATGGCGCTGCGCGTCACCGAGGCGTGTCACCATAATAGCACCGGGTTTCGGTACCCAACCCTTCTAATAGTCTGAGGGAAGAAACTTTCCTTCAGTCGGCTGGTGCATAACCGGATGCTGCGAGACCGTCTGCCTGAGGGTAGCAGAGAGAAAAGTCTATGGCTTGGATGGCTGGAGTCGCTGATGATTCTCTTGGCTTTCCTCATGCATCGCCTGCTGTAGATGTCCTGAAAGGAGAGAAGCTCATCTCCTACTACGTGTCCAGTAGTTCAAACAATCCTATGTAGGCCTTTGTAATTGCTGCTGGGTGCTGTTTCCATACCAGGTGGTGATACAGCCAGTCAGGACGCTCTCCACAGTGTCTGTGTAGAACGAGCGGAGGATGTGGGGGCTCATTCCAACCCTCCTGAGACGCCAGATGGAAAAGAAGTGTTTCCTTCCTCACCACTGCATCTGTGTGAGCAGTCCATGTCAAATCCTCAGCGATGTGGACTCCAAAAAACTTGAAAGTGCTGACTTTCTACACTGGTGTCCCGTTGATGGTGATGCGAGTGTGTTCTCTCTTCTCTGTCCTGAAAGCCACCACCCTAGGTTTTGTTGATGCTGAGTGAGAGGGGGTTTTCCTGACACCACTGCATTAGAGTGTGCACCTCCTCTCTGTAGGCCATCTCATCATTATCGGTGATTAGGCCCACCACCGTTGTGTCATCAGCAAATTTAACGATGACGTTGGAGCTGTGTTTGGATGTACAGTCATGTGTGTACAGGGAGTACAGGAGTGGGCTGAGAACACAGCCCTGTGGAGCACCAGTGTTGAGGGTCAGTGTGGATGAGGTAATGTTGTTCATTCAGACAACCTGGCATCTGCATGACAGAAAGTCCAGGATCCAGTTGCACAGAGAGCTGTGTAGACCCAGATCCTGAAGCTTCACCACCAGCTTAACAGGCACTATAGTTTTTAATGCTGAGCTGTAGTCATCCAAAAGCATTCTCATATATGTGTTTTTGTTTTGTAGCTGAGACAGAGCAGTGTGCAAGGTGAAAGCAATTGCATCATCGGTGGAGCGGTTATTTCTATATGCAAATTACAGAGGGTCAGTAGCTATGTTTCCATCCAAAAATGCGAATAAACTTTATGAGCAAAACTGGATTATCGCATAAAAGTTGTGCGAACGAAGCATCGTTTCCATCCAACGAGTCAAAGCAAACAAAATTGTCGCTTCCTGATTAACTGGCGCCAAATATCAACAGTAAAAACTGCATTTGCTGCAGTAGGAGAAGCTGCATCAATCTTTTCTAAACGAATGCGCCTCAGAAGACAATCCTGACAAGCAGTGAGCGTGCAGTGGCGTTTGAAGGTGTCAGACGCGGAGCACAAGCGCTCTTAATTCTGAAGGTCATTAATAATATAATAACATTAATACTGAAATGGTAAGGCATTTTATAATGACCAAAACAACATTTCAGATGTTTTATAATGTGCTCAGCCTGACTTTTTTTTCCATTCACACACATTTTAAGAATCACATGATCTCTTTTAACAAAATCACATGACCTTTTTTAATGCGCATACTGGAGTTTGTGCGGTAAAAGTGTTTCTATCGCAGTTTATGTGCATCTTTTCTTATCGAATAAAAAGTTTATCCTACCCAGTTAGGAGCATAAGTTTTTTATGCGCATTTTCCAAATTTATGCGCATCATGGCGTTTCCATCAACTGTTTTTTTTTTATGCGCATTTGCAAAATGCACATAAAATAGGTGGATGGAAACATAGCTACTGTGAGCGGTGCTTTTTAATCAGCTTCTCAAAGCACTTGTTTAAGATGGGTGTCGGAGCAACTGGATGCCAGTCATTCAAGCATGTGGTTTTAGCTGATTTCAGTACAGGCACAATAGTAGCTGTCTTAAGGCAGGTGGGAACCACAGACCAAGAGAGTGAAAGGTTAATTATGTCCGTGATTAAAGTCAGTGATGTAATTAGGTCCCTGCCACATGCTCCTTGCGTTGGTGTTAAATTGACCCTCTACCTTGGATTGGTATTGATGTTTTGCTGCTTTGATGGTTTTTCTGAACTGGCATTAAGCACGGAAAACACATTTTTAAAAGCAGAATATCTGACTTCAGCATTGTTTTTCAGATAAACAAGAATGTTCACTTAGCATGTTTCTTAAATATCTGCAAACATATTATGGTAGTTTATGCTTTAGAAGAGACAAAAAGTTACATGCAGCACTTATCTGCTTAAACAATGCTCTAAACAAGGCAGTTTCTCATTAAACATGATCAATATGCAAATCCCACAATCCTAATGACATAAATGGGCAGGAAAAAGAATGTAGCCTTCAATTACGATTGAGGGTTTGAAATTTAAAAATACGGTTTGTCTGTTTGAAATAGGCTGCATTAATTTTTTAAGGTGATTCCCGGAAGAACACTATTTTTTTTTCAAGCGGCGTTTAGTTAAATGTGCAACAAATTGCAGTAATTCAGACATCTGGTGTCCCACTGAGAGGCCAGCAGATAAATGCACTGAGCTCTGCTATCTGAATCTCTAATTAAACACTCAGTGATCTGCACTGCACTTTATATATAATGGAATATTGCGTGGGTTTAACAAAATTTATCTGGACAAAGCGGCAACGATGTAATAAATGCCGTGCTGGCAGGAAATGAACGAATGTAAAACATGCACTCTGTTTGGAAAGCAAGATCTACTGTATTTGACCTTCCTAATAAATCAAGAGAATTACAAAAGACAACAAACACTTCAAATAGCATTACAGATGCCTTTTAAAGCGCTCAGTTGGCAACCATGATGGCTCATTAAGTTTTGTTGCTGATGTTTTTTAACATAATCACTTCAAGCCATGACTACCACATGATTTAAATAAAATAATGAGTAATTTATAATAGAATTATAAGGTAAATGATAATGGTGGTTTAATAATATCTCTACTTTGTATATCTGGTAGCAGAATAACAGTTGTAATGAAGATAAAAATGTGAAAGTAATTAATGGCCTTGCACAGAACAGTTATTTTTATAACCTAGCACAGGCTGTCTTAA